ATTGGAGCTATATTGAAGAGATTTTTGTGAGAATGCCTTTGACCACCAGCTAACATAATAAGTGGCACAGAAGAGCTACTCAAAAAATAAAAATTGGTAGTCTAAAATAAGTTTGTAGACAGATAAATTTATTTTATTAATAATTTAACATTTAAAACACTTATTTTATAACTAATCAATAAATCTACTTGGCTAAAGAAAATAATGTACGTAACAGACATTTTTCAGAGAGTAATGGTGGCATAACCCGCTGTGCTACAACACCAGTCCTTAATGTGGTCTTGTGTAGTGTAAGGTAATTTGGGAGGACATAATACATTCTTTCAGGGAAGGTCTAATTGAAATGTTTTATTCATTAGTAATACATCTTTGGTAAAATTTGGTAAATATTTGATAAAAATTAGTAATACTATGTAAAGTACACATGTGAAAAATAAAACATGCAAGTACTAAGATATAGTCATTTGAGAGCTTTGGATTTGACATGGTAAAAAACAAGTTTTTTGTTTAGAGTCAGTGCACCTGGCTTGGAGACCACATGCTGTGAGCCTTCTGAAACATGGCTTTGAGCAGGTCACTCACTTCCATGAGCTTCTTTTCATAAATGGAGCTGGAAACAAGCACCAAAGCTATTTTCAGATAGTTTTTCCCGGCAGTAATGTGATAAGGGCATAAAAACATGCAAAAAAATGTGAATAATATAGAAATGTAAGATACTACTATTATAGAAGGTCAGTAACCAGGAAATATCAATATGGTCTGAATTAGGCACTTTGCATGAGCATAAAACATAAGGTTGAAAGTTTCAGCAGGTGGCCGGTGCCATGCCTCACTAGGCTAATCCTCCGCCTGTGGTGCTGGCACCCTGGGTTCTAGTCCTGGTTGGGGCGCCAGTTCTGTCTCGATCGCTCCTCTTCCAGTCCAGCTCTCTGCTGTGGCCTGGGAAGGCAGTGGAGGATGGCCCAAGTGCTTGGGCCCTGCACCCACATGGGAGACCAGGAGGAAGCACCTGGCTCCTAGCTTTGGATCGTGCAGCGCGCCTGCCGTAGCGGCCATTTGGGGGGTGAACCAACGGAAGGAAGACCTTTCTCTCTGTCTCTCTCTCTCTCACTGTCTAACTCTGCCTGTCAAAAAAAAGTTTCAGCAGGTAACTGGAAATATTTTATTAAGGCTTTATAACAGTGATATTTTACACTTCCAATGCTCATGCAAAATGCCTAATTCAGATAATATTAGTAATTCCTGGTCAATGACACCTGTCAAGTTTTGGTTTGAAATAAATAGATGTTGATAGATTATATATGTTTTGCCTGAGTATTCCATAAAGTCTGAAGGAATTGTATAAAATACCAATGGCAATATACTTATATTATAAACATTAATGAGATGCAAATTTGTGTCTGAGTACAATTTCTGTAACTATGAGCAATCAAGATTAATTAAGTGATATAATGGATGAAGGAAAGCATAACTTATCATTACAAGAATACAAAGAACATTCTAGGAATAACATAACACCCTATATTTTATACAGTATTTCCTCATGTATGATATGATTTTATTCCTATTGTAATCATTTGATAATTATTCCTAACTTATTATTATAATTATTCCTAACTTATTAAATAAACCTGAAGCCTATAGAAATTTAATAAAAACCCAGAAAATCACAACTAGTAATTAAAGGAGATATAACTAAAATCTAGATATTTAAATGTCAACTGTAGTACTCTTGAAGATAACTAAGCCAATACGAATTGTGAAGTGTTAGGACCTGTTCTTTCATTTATTTACTATGGTTTATTGGCTGTTCATTATGTGTCCTAATTAGGACAATATAGGATCAGCATGATCTCAGCTCTGAGGAAGCCATGGGCCAGCAGGAGATGCCTAGCATCTGTGGTGTATTCACAACAACACAGGGCTATGAAAATGCCTAGGAGAAAAGTGCTATGGGGGGTAATTTATAAATTCAATTACTTTATACATTTCAATAATAATTTGGTGCAACATTAACATATAATTGGCCGTGTTCAGAAATACTACTTTTGGTTCCATGCAACAGATTGAAAAATTTGATTCAATTTTACAGCAAACATTCTCTTGAAGGTCAATAACCAAGTTTCATATTACATAAACAGTGAACGTGGGTAGAAAAAAAATTGTCTTATTTGAATTTATTGGGTCTAGTACTACATACTAAGTAGGATAAGTATAAAAAAAAGTATGCTTTGCCTGATATTTTTGATCATAATAAACACTATGGTTAATTACAATGCAGTTTGCTATTATAACATATATGCTACCAATGTAGCCTCTTTAAAACCTGGGGGTGGCAATAGTTAGTATAGTGCATTTTCCTGTACTGCTTAAAAAAATTCATTATGAAAACCTGGTCGATATGGACATGACTTGTTTAAATTCTTCTAGAGGTGGCCATGCTATCATTATTCTGATTTGGATGTTGGTTACATATCAAGGCTTGGATGCATCACATTCCCACCATATAATCTGGTAGAGCAAAAGAGGAGATATGCTTTGAGGAAAGGCAGTAGGCTTTACCCAACACCAGTATCAAAGGAGACTTTGTACTGTGTATGCTTATTTAAATTGTGTATTCATATTAAAAACAGGCAAAAGCTGTGAAGGCTTAACTGTAACACTTAAAACAGAGAGGCAAGGCATAATAGAGCAAATTGTAATTGTAAGTAGTGGGAGACACTATAGGATGAAATGAATGATGTTCACAGTCTTTTAAGCCTGGTTCAGTAAAGTGTAATTTCTGCTGGAGCCTCAGTTTCCTTGCCTGAAAAATGGGAATAATAATATTCACCTTGCAAAATACCCAGGGTACTTAGTGATAATCCATAGATCAGGGCATAGCCAAGTATTAGACAAACCAATTCAGCTCTTATGAAAACCAGCCTAACAGAACTGAAAAACTTGTGTTTTGTGTTTAGTTATTTGCAGGATTTTATTTCAGCTAACATTTTTACAATACCACCTTTCACATAGAGACTCTGAAAAGAGGAGACACAACCTTTGTCCTCAGGAAAGTTTGTCAAATTCCAACTCTGGAATTTCTTTCTCTAAAACCATCATTCAAACAGCACAATCAGGGACCAGTCTGCCAATGGCTGGCGAGTTCAAGTGACCCTAGGTGGCTCCTGGAAGCATACCTGGTATTGCTATTTTTAATTTTTTTTAAAAAAATTAAGGTATACGATTTTCATGTATCTTCTATATACAGATTCAGGGACTTAGTGATACTTCCAAACTGCCCCCCCATTACCACTCTTAATTTTGACAAAGATCTATGTTTGATTTATTTTATAACCATAAGGTTGACCCTATACTAAGTAGAGTTCAATAAAAACTATGAAGAAAAAAGAAAACACTGTTCCTCAACAGTGGAGACAAGGGCTGTAAACAATCATCGAATCTTAAAGTGCCATTTTCATTCCTATAAATCTATATATACCTTTTAGGTACTCCAATAGTTACGACAGATTAAGGAAAACATGGTATTCGTCTTTTTGGGGACAGGTTCATTTCACTAAGTACAGTGGTTTCCAGGATTGCTTTTCAAGCTTCTATGCCCACCTAACAAAAGCCTTAACGCTAGTTGCCTACCTTTCGGATAAAACCAGAAAACGTCTTGAGATGCTAACTCCAAAGAGAGCAAAAAGACAATGAGGTTTAAGATTTAATTATCAACAGGCCATCTCATTGTTAATAATCACCAGGCTTAGCTGTTTTAGACCTGGGAGCCAACATACAAGTTAAAAAAAAAAAAAAAAAAAAAAAAAAAAGCCTGGAGGAGTAAAATCTGACCCCAGGGGCTTAGAACCTGGGAAAAGAAACAACTGCAGGTCATGCACACTCAATGACCAAAGTCAAATGAGCACAGGTGCAAGCCACTTGGAGCGGCCGGGAAGCGCGTGGGGCATGGTCAGCGTGGACACTGCGGGCCGGGCTGCCCTGGGTCCAGCTCGCCCGCCTGCTCTGCTCCTTCAGCCCAGAGGATTTGCAGCGTTGCATCCTCAAAGTACTGTGAACCGCCAGGGGAAATCACAGGTCCGCGTGGCCATTTTCTGGGGGTTACCTGGCAGTCTGTTCTGAGTGCCCTGGGCGACACGAAAAAGCCCCCAGGTGGAAGTTAGTGAACTTTCAGGAAGAGGGGCCGAGCTAGGCGGGGGCGGGGCCCGGGAGCAGCGGGGCGGGGGCGGTTCCCCGAGTATTTCTCGCCCGAGCCCGCCCCGCGCTCGCAAAGCTGGAGGGACGAGGCGCCCCCTTCTGCACCGGCTGCCTGGCTTTCCAGTGCATAGGAGCCAGGGAGTTGTTAGCGAGGGAATATACGCGTCTAAATAAAAATGATGGAGGGGAGGGAGTGAGTATTGGAGTAGCGGGAAATATGGTTGGTGCCTTGTCTCGTGGAGAGAACATGGACAAGACCTCCCTCAGAAGCGAGCAGCATAGCACAAACATCATAGAATTATGTGTTGTATGTGCCACACGAGATACACACTTACATATGACGCGATATGAATATCACAGATGGGGACCCTCCTCGCAGGAGACGAGTTGGAGGGGTCCAGCTGTGATGGGGAATATGTACAAGAGGAAGAAGCCGTTTCGTACGGATAGAGTAACGAGGCAGAGGACCGCAACAGAGGAGATAGAAGGGAGGAGTGACTAGCTAGAGTTATCGAGATCTCAAGTTGATTGACTCAGAGAAAGCATAGATGGATTCGTGGCTGCTCGTGTAAAACGGGAGCCTAGCTTAACTTATATCCCAAGCCAACCTTGAAACCTAGTGCATGCTACGATGGGGGCTGCATAACGGTATTGAACTAAAGGACATCGCAAACGGATTTAGGTATTGAACAAGGGCTGAGGTAAAACGCGATTCTCTAGTTCCAAAAAGCAGG